CCAGGAAGCTGACCTGGCCCTCGGCCCCTTCGGCCTGACCTACTCCAGGTCCCGCGTCGTGGACTTCTCTTCGCCCATCCTTATCGACTACTATCGTATCCTGACGAAAAGGCCGCGCTCTGAGCCCGACCCCAAGGGCTTCCTCACGCCTTTCAGGTTGGTCCTGCAGGAGGAGCGAGTGATGTTTGAATTGCATGACCTCTTTGCGACAAACGGAATCGTGAATATTGTGAAGTCGTTCATGAACTATGTGGGGAGAATTAACTGGCATGCAATATCTCATATTTACTTATACACATCAAGAGTTTTGAGGAAAATAATCCTGGGCGAAATGGAAGAACCGAAGATTTCCTATGAACGGCACTGACTCATATAGCGGACCATCAGACGTCAAAACCTCTTCTTACTCGCCTGACGCTTCTCCCGCAGGTGGCACGTGTGGATCGGCTTAGTCTTGTCGGTTGGCGCAATTGGGGCCGTGCTCTTTGGCGTCCGCAAGGCCGCCCACTCCTTCTTCGGGGGCGAGCAGATGAATCCGTCCAAAAACGCAAGTCTGCCGCAGCATTTGTGGGCGGTCTATGGGGCGCTAATCAGCCAGCGTGAGTCTTTGGTCTCGTGTACTCTTCCCCTTACATGAATGGTCTTTCCCCAAGAGTGTCTTCCCTCGCGTGTAAGGCCTTCCTCACATGAGCTCTGGTGTTCCAGCTTACACGTGGATGAGTCGGTCGTGGAGCGGGCGCGTCGTCGTCGGCATGTGGTGGCTGACGGCGCTCATCATCGCCCGCTCCTACTCCTCGGCCCTCACCTCCATGCTGGCGGTGCGGACGGTGCCCGTCAAGTACAACTACCTCAGGCAAGTCATCGGCGACCCGGATATCCATCTCATTTTCGAGAAAGCGACGGCGTTGGTCGAACACATGTCTGTATGTTCTTCATTAATCTATTTTGATTGCTTGCTTTATATGTACAACATACTCATGGAAGTTTACCTAATTTTGCGTTTGTAAAATGTAAACTACGGAAGTCCAGCAAGTCTGAACCCCCTTTCTGCAGACGGTCCAGGAGGGGGTCTACAAAGATCTGGCGAACACCATACAGCAGGACCGCGCGCACTTCCTCGCCTCGTCCAAACTCTACAACGCCGCCTACACGGACGTGAGGAACAGACAGTACGCCCTGCTGGTGGAGGACACCACCTGCAGGAAGGTCTTCTCGGATGACTTCACTAAATACGGTGAGGGGGTTGCGTGCGTCCGCCATTGCAGACACACACGCACATGTGCGTGCGTGTGTGTGTGTGTGTGTGTGTGTGTGTGTGTGTGTGTGTGTGTGTGTGTGTGTGTGTGTGTGTGTGTGTGTGTGTGTGTGTGTGTGTGTGTGTGTGTGTGTGTGTGTGTTTATATTAGCTAGTAGATCTAGGAATAGACAGACAGGTGGACAGGCCCAAAATGACGTTCTTTTTGACAGGTCGCTGCGACTTCTACATCGGCAAGGAGCGTTACTGGCCTCTCATCTTCTGCTTAATCGGACGAAAAGGAACGCCGATTATGCAGGCAATCAACAGCAAGTAGGCTATTCACTTGGTTTTAAGATACATGCACACACACACACGAAACAACTAGAAACAACACATTGGAAATGTAAACTAGTGGAAAAACAACATAACGCCCAAAGCAAAGCTGAATGTCTTGTCACAGGATCGAGCGCCTGGTGTCCCACGACCTGTACTTCAAGTGGTTGGAGGACGAGCTGCCGAACGCCACCGCGTGCCTGAAGGCGAGCACCAAAATCACGGTCAACGAAGCATACGACCTCACCGGCCTTTGGGTGAGGAACACTGCGTTGTCTGAATGCCGGCCCAACTGAAGAACCTATCGGAATTTGTTCTCATGACTTGTCTTTTCAGGGTGTGTTTGTGCTGTTTTTGGGCGGCTTGATAGTTGCTGCGTTGATTCTAATGACCGAAGTATGTGTGGCTGTTGTGGCCGACTAGATGTGAAACCTGGAAATCTCGCCTCGTGCTCGCCACCAAGAATGAAGACTGTGTCCATCTCCGCCTTCAGATCCTTCGCCCATCGACGGATTTTTACACACACACACACACACACACACACACACACACACACACACACACACACACACACACACACACACACACACACACACACACACACACACACACACACACACATATGCAGGTGTACCTTTCATATTGATTTTGCAAAATGTTCACATATAAATATATCATCAGCCAGTGAAGTTAAGCAAGATGTTTTGGCTGATAGCGTCTGTGTAGCGGAAATACCCAGAGCGAGCTTGCTGAAAGTATCTCTGTCGAGCTGCAAGTCACAGAATACTCAACGAATTCCAGTGTGCATAACTGTTCTGTCCTTACTCTTCTGTTATAATAGGTGTTACAATTTCCATACTATTGTTTGTTTTATTAAACACTGGAGCATATTTTTTATTCATCCGAAGTATGAAAAATAACGATATTTTATAAAGTATTCTTATGATGCTCTGGAATAATTTTGTCCCTATTAAGATATTTACTCCAAAGAACTTTACACACACATACACGAGTTCAGTCACTCAAAAGTATATTTTACTTCAAGTTGATTAATTATGATGACTCACTAGAACTACATTTTTCAGTACTTGTAAAGTTCCTATTCCCCTTTTCAAAGTAATTACAGTGAAAAAAAAATTATATACATTAGAACACACCTTATTAGTTGTCAGATTGATTTCCAATTGCTAATTCTCTTGACAACATTGTCAAGTATAATTCATTACATGCGACTTCAAGAAAAATACCATGGGTTACTGTTTCTTCCACAACATAAAGCATCTATCCTTTCACAAAGATTGAAATAAACAGTAAAAAATGGAAATAAAAACCTATATACTGTGTGCATGGTAGCATGGATTCTATGGCAATTTTATTGACTTAATCCCTAAAATATTTCACTGGTATAAGACCAGATTTTTAAATGAGAAATAGATATTTGTTGAAAAAATTAAAATAAGTAATCAATAGTGTTTTTTAACACATTTTTCTCAGGAAAACTAAATTGAGAGCAACGTAATTTCAACTTACTAAATTTCAAACAAAATACACAATTTGATCAATTCCTTTAGACTGTACCTCATCTTCTCTTTGGTATATTTTCATTACTAAACTGAAATTTAAGAAAGCCACAGCACTGCATAGTGCGCATGCACATTACCAGGGCTTCTAATATGGGGTATATTGCTAAATTGGCTGGTCTTTTGCATAAGGAAAATCAGTACACAATATAAAAAATTATGGTCAGTAAAATGGGCTTTCGTAACAATTTATCATAGACAATGTAGCCAATGGTTTCTTAAACACCTATTTGTGTTTTGCCAAATTGTTAGAAAATCAGTCTTTTGAAGTTCAAGTTATCCCAGCTTGGTTGATAGGATCTCTCTCTTATCACTTTCCTTTAGAAGAAAATTTAAGTATTAAATATCTTTTTATTTCAGAATCTTATTGCCAATTTCAATATCAATTATGGAATGCAGCCATAAATCTCTACATGACACTAGTGTGAGGATAATCAAACATATTGGTAATTTTGGGGTGGTATACTCAACTATGAGGATGAATTGATCAGAGAGTTATGATGAAGGATGCTGTACAAATACATTTACAAGACAAAATATAAAGTATCTTAAAAGTTTCACTGCCATACTGTCAGGATGATTAGGCAGTCTGAGCAATTCTCCCAGTGGCACATGTCACTTAAATCAACACTTACAATGTAAATTTCGGTAATATCTTTTGTCTGATTGAGTTCCATTTTAATACATTTCATTCCAAGTATTTGCTTCTTTCCTATAATATACTACATATAGTAGAGCTTGTACATATCTATAGCAGTTTAAATCAAACACATTAGTACTGTGACAGATATTAAGTCCTTACTCATGATGATGATGATGAGGATGATGATGAAGATAATAATGATAAAGATGATGATGATGATGACAATGATGATGATGACGATGATAATGATAATGATAATAATAATAATAATAATAATAAAAATAATAATAATAATAATAAAAAATAATTATAATAATAATAATAACAATAATAATAGTAATAATAATAATAACAATAATAATAATAATAATAATAATAATAATAATAATAATAATAATATCAATAATAATAATAATAATAATATAACAACAACAACAATAATAATAATATCAATAATAATAATCATAATCATAATAATAATACCAATAATAATAAAACAAAATAGTATATCCTCCAAAACTTAATAATCATAATAAAAGTTACAATATTCATCCTAATCTTTGATAGAATAATTTGTACTTTACATTCACTCATATTGATCTAATCACTCAACTTCAAGACAGGAGGAAAATATTACAAAACAAATGTCTCTTTTACATATGGAAAAGGTAAGTCGAAATGGGACAAAATGCATTGGTTTAAAAGGTGAAACAGTATACTACATTCTTATATTAAAGGCAATGCAGAGTGTTCATAAACAATTAGGGTTACTTGAGGTAGGTTGGGGGAAACTATATAATGTAATTCTGATGCAAAGCTGCCCGGGAAAAATAATGCATGAACTGATCAAATTTTGCAGATTACTTTACATATTCTGAACATCTTTTTGCATTAATATGCATTAACAAGCTCAACTACCAAAAACATCAAATATAAAGGAAATAACCTGCTATCCTTGGACAGACAGAAATACAATCAAGCATCAGTATCTTCATATAAAAACCTGCATGAGCAGCTAAAATGAGCAAATACTGAGAGAAATTTCTACTTTCAGGAAGATTTTGGGAAGAACACAATAAATAAGATTCAGAGTATACTCACACACACACTCTCTCTCTCTCTCTCTCTCTCTCTCTCTCTCTCTCTCTCTCTCTCTCTCTCTCTCTCTCTCTCTCTCTCTCTTTGTATATATGTTTGTGTGTGTGCGTGTGTGCGAGTGTGCGAGTGTGCATGTGCGTGTGCGTGTGCGTGTGTGAGTGTGTGCATGAGTGAATGTGCATGTTTGTAAATGTGTGTGATATATAATGAACATAAACATACTTTTATAACTCTGTATTTGTATTCTTATTCACGAAGTACAAATACAGGAACATTCATGCATTTAGGTAAATATTCAAGTGGCTTACATTTCAGAGAAAAAAGCATTATGAAGTGATAATACAGATTATGAAAACAGGAAGTTACCCTTCTATTCTAACATGCAATCTAACATACATGTGTTGTGATACCATACAAAAGTCAGGAAAATTATTCTTTGCATTCTTTGTAGGCTGAGAAGCAATAGATTGGTTTACAGTATTCTTTCAGCAGCATAATAATATTCCTAAATTATAGCATGAATCTAAAACTCACAACTACTGATGTAGACATGATGTAATTTCATAAAGGGAAATATTAATCCAACTGAGTATTGTTATCTCCAATTTCAAGACAAAATTTCTAACAATATGTTTGAGTACTAACATAGAATGTTGAACCAAAGTGATACCCTGTCACTATGACTAATGAATATAGTTACCTCTATTATCATTAGTTTAGGAAAGCCATTCCATCTGCTTCTTATTATATAGTGATTGTGAGATACATAGGCTACAGATACAATTATAGATAAGGTATCATTCATAAAATTAAAAAATGACACAAATGACACCAACTGCTCTCAAAGGGTCATTCTATTTCTAGTTGGAATTATCAGAATGAACCTCGTACATAATAAACGTCCATTTCATTCCTGACTGATACTTTATTTACAGATTTATAGTTCATTTTACCACTATCCTCATTTAATGTGTTACAGGATCACTCACTTCTGTATCTGTGAGTTGTCAAGATTACTTCATTCATCACAGTGAAATTACATCTTCATACCACCTCTCACAGATGAAGATGCTTCAGTGAGCTAAAATATTATCCACGATCTCCCAATCAGACATTTGCTACAAAGAAATATTTTTGATATAGAGTCATTACCATTTACAATTGTTTTGATTCATAATATTTTTGCTTATATCCTGGAAATACATGAAATCACAATTTATTCCCCTAAATAAACTAATTACATAAACACTTTTCCATCTAAATTTAGATAAGTGCACCTAAAAAGGCAATACTTAATATCATTACACTGGGGCATCAACAGCTGAACATACACATTCAACAAAGACATTTTCACATTCAGTATTTCCACAAGACAAGAATGCATGCCCACTCCTGGCTGAGGGAGCTATTAAGTATCATGTGCCAAGCTTAAACAAAACAACAACCACAGTATCAAGAATAATGCTTCACTACACATGTAATCACATTAAAATTTGTGCTAAATCATGAATATCTTTATTCATTAGAATCATTTTCCTTTCTCTTTAAAGAAATTTCTCTACTCTTGTCTGATAAAAAAAAATCCAAAACAAAATCTTAAACAAATTATCATAATTTCTGGAATACTGGATTTCACTGTAGTTATGTGTTACATGGTTAAGTAAGTGCTTTTTGACATTTTACACAGTAGTTCAAATTGTCTTGCAAATCAACCTGTTTAACCACTCCATGCCAGTGTTTCCTTATGTGTACTGCCCTGGCCTGACATAATTCTGTATTTCAGCCTTACTTAAACTCACCCTAAACTTATAGAGAAGGTATCATTATAAAGTAGTATCCTTCTGAGACAGTGTGATTTGGAGTTGGTTTCATTACATATTCTGTTTGAGAACCAACATTTTTGCTTGCATATTGTAACTGCAAGCTGTATTTCTACCCAACTGTTACTTACCATAACTCCTAAAAATTACTCTAATAATTAATGTTCTGATAAGCTAGTTACTTTTCATGTCTTGACTGAGAATAGGCAGCTTAATGTGGGTTAAAAGTAAGCTCTTGCCTTGATCAATGACACTCTGTGGACTGACCAGGGAAATTCCACACCTCAATTGGCGACTTCAGGCACAGATGGGTTAAACCATGCCCCTTGAACTACATGTTACTTGTTACTTGTACATCTATTACCAGTGGCATATTAGCATTGGTCTTCAATAAAATAAAATATGAAAACAATTTACATGTAACACTAAAAATTGGAATATTTGTAAACCTGATGCCCCCACAGATGGCAAGCAAGTACATAACATGCCTTTTGCGAGTTTAGTGTATTAATTGTCTTTAAACATAGATGGCTCTACAAATACTTAGTCAGTAATGAACCAATTACTACTCTGACCCTTTCCTTGCTTTTCAGGAATATTTTCTCTTATCCAATATTGCTATTAGTAATGTCAATAATATCATAATAATCATAATGTCTACAATAATAATAATAATAACAGTATTGATATTGATAGCAGTTGTAAAAGAATACACTTTCATTGAAAACTCAAGGAAATGTGAAATCAGGCAAGATCATCACAACGTCTGAGAATTGACTCCTTGGTGGCTAAGCGCTTGTCAAACCATCTTTATGCAGAAACATTTCACAAAACAATATTACAGTGAACACTATGCTTTCCTGGAAGCACTGGGTTAAATAAAAAGCAAATAATCAAAATAAGTTAATATTAACCTCTGATGCCTTTTATAGATCATATCAATTTTACCAGCAATAACACAATATAATATGTAATGAAATAAAGGATAAAGTGTACAAAACTATACTCTGTACATCAAGTGATGCTATAAATTACATTTACAAATTATACCAATAGTTGCCAAGTTTTATCATAGTGTCACATCAAAGACAATATCCATTTGTAAACATCAAAACTTAATATAAACTTTATGATGAAAGAAATCAACATAACTAAAAGAGCAATTATATCAATAATAACCATCCAACACATTAGACAAAAATAGAATTAATAGTGATAATCACTTATTGAAAGAAGACCTGGGAATCTGCATTTATGAATATATGTTTTAATAATACTATATGATTACAATACATTAACTCATTATTAATTTTGGCCTTTTTCTTTAATAACTATATGATTATAATTTTCTACTGCTGATTTCATGCTTGTTAATTATTGTTAAATCTCATTTGCAAAGAAGGTAAAGAAGGGAGACAAAACAGTTAAGTCTTGTTTTAATAGAAATAAAGTAAAATTATTTGATCCAGCATTCATACTTTGAGAAAAAGTTAACAAGATGAAAGGAGAACAATCTGCCATGTATGTGACCCACAGCTGTTTGTCTTTTTATAACTATTAACCACTTTCCAAGTTGATTGTGGTGTTACCTTATCCAATACTGTTAGAAGTAATGATTCAAATAATTAAAAATCTAATGATCATTGCCATATCAGATGCACCAATCCAAAATGCTACAGTACTTATTTAACACACAAAAACTTGGAAAGTTAATATGATATCAATACTATAATTGCAAACTTCACTTATATTGGGGACTTGGGGTGGGGGTGGGGGAGGGGATCATAGGTGTGGCATAGGAGGTGGGAGAGTGAGCTACGGTGAGGTTACACGGGAGAATTTTTTTTTTTCTTTTTTCAATTATACACCTACATTACTGAGACAAAGTGTCATAATCTACCAATTAAAATTCAGAGATTTGGAACACACCTACCTATGAAAAACCTTCCTATTAAGACTCCTATGCATGGAAAGGGGATATCTTTTGGAACACCACTGAAAACACTTTCTCACTTATCTATTCCTTTTCAAGATGAGCATTCAAAGCAGGAATTTAAAACTTACAATCTATATGTTTTTTTTTTCCATTTTATCATTTTATTTTGAGAAGATGTGACAACAACATTAACCACACAGCAACAGTGAAGTTAGTTGGATTAAAGAAAATAGTATGTTAATTTTTTTGCCATGGTTTATGTGTCCTTTTATGTCTGCGATTTAAGTCTGAATCTTTAATTATGCAATGTTTGAGGGAAATAATCACCTTTTTTTTATATCCAATAGTAAAGTATCAAACTATACCAATTACAAATAATTCTTGAAATGAAAAAGTATTCGGCCCTAGCAAAGATGGTCTCTTGTGAATAGGCAGAAAAAGTCCCTAGTATATCCTCTGATACAAAATATTTACTTATGAGCATAGAGGGTGTACCTGTGAAACACACACACACACACACACACACACACACACACACAAACACACACACACACACACACACACTCACACTCACACTCACACACACACACACACACACACACACACATACACACACACATATATATATTCAAAAGGAAGAAAAAAAAGAAAGAAAGAAAAAAAGTGTGTGTGTGCGTGTGTGCGTGTGTGCGTGTGCATGGATGCATGCATGTGTGAATACATGTGTGCATGCATGAGTGTGTGCTTGTATATGTGTGTGCATGTGTGTAAATGTGTGTGTGTGAGATTGTATGAGTATGTAAGAGAGTAAGGCATGTGTGTACAAGCATGTCTTTGCATGCAAGCATGTGAGTATGCAAGAATATGAGTGTGTGCACATAAGTGAATGTGTGGAAGCATGTGAGTGTATGGAAGCAATTGAGTCCATGGAAGCAAGAGTCCATGGAAGCATGTGAGTGTGTGGAAGCATGTGAGTGTATGGAAGCAACTGAGTCCATGGAAGCATGTGAGTGTGTGAAAATTCAAAATTTACAAAGTATGAACATAAATATGCACAAACACTGTAAAACACAAGAAAACATTTTAAGCCTCTGATATGCTAAACTCATTTGGTAGTTTTCTAGGTGACAAAAATTTCAAAGCCATATGTGTCACAGCCTAGTACTTGTGAATATACCATTTTCTTAATATGGTTACAGTTTTCTGAAATCATATGGCTCCCCTTTCTAAATAACATGTTTCATTCAGCACTCTATTAGGAATGTAACTGTCTACCAAATAAGGAACAATGGATCATGCATACTTTTCTTATAATTTGATGCCAATATCGTTTTGTTTCAGCTCAGGTATCACTTCTTCTTTCCCTCATGTTAACTAATGATCATTAACAGTTAAGTTTTGGATTGAGACACAAACGTCTACTGGAACGTTATACCTGCAGATTATACAGTTATTAGGTTTCAGATCTGGTAAACAACATACTGAGCAGACCATAGAACAGTCAGCTTATATTATTTGTGACACCTTCAGAAGATAATAACCCTTCTACATGTGATCATAGTTACAACATGATACTTATGAGAATAAAGGTATGTGTTTGGTGGCATAGGATAGATGATGAGCACTGTAGTGACTGAGTTGTAAGAGTCTGACTGGATGACAGCTAATACATGTTCGTCTATCATCAAATCAGCCCTTGAGAATCACTTCCTCTCTGGAAAACCAGGCTGGCGCTCTTAGCTTGGCACCAGTTTCTGTGAGCAGCTTTCCCGTCTGTGTTCTTATCTACCTGTTGACCCATGCTGCCCTTTCCTCCTCCCAATCAGGTGTGTCTCCTTCTCGCCTGTGTGATCCATTCCTTTGTTCGTTGGCTCCTAAGCTGCTTCTCCGCTTGCTTTGACTTCCTTGTCCCCCCTACCAGAGGAGAGGAAGAATGGGACTTTTGAAAATAATTTGAAATAACTTTGAGTGAATTCTCCTGAAAGATGAGACCATATGATTATTGATGCTCCTATCAGATGAGTGTAACCAACTGTATATAATACCTTAACCTCAAAACATAAAATCTGGCTTCACTAGGCCCTATCCAGTCAATATCAAAACTGAATACTAAACTCTAGAAAGACTAAAGAAAAGTAGTATTGTATTTTCCTGAATATAAGCCAATATATTTTGTGGTAAGATTCTTGTCCATGAAAATAAGTATGACAGGCTGAAAATTGGACCATCACTTGTACATTGTACATCAAATTTTCTATATCAGTCTATACACATACTTACACCCAATTACATGCGCATGCACACACGCACACACACACACACACACACACACACACACACACACACACACACACACACACACACACACACACACACACACACACACACACACACACACTCACTCACTCACACACACTCACAAACACACTCACAAACACACACACACACACACACACACACACACAAACACACACACACACACACACACACACACACACACACACACTCACACACACACTCACACACACACACACATGCACGCACGCACGCATGCACGCACGCACACACGCGCACACACACGCGCGTGCGCGCGTGCACACGCATTCACACACACTCACACATGCACATGTATTCACACACACACCCATGCACACACACATTCACATACACGCACACATACGCACACACACATGCACACACACGCATACACACACACGCATACACATACACATACACACACACACACACACACACACACACACACACACACACACACACACACACACACGCACACGCACACGCACACGCACACACGCACACGCATACACGCACACGCATACACACACACACACACACACGCACACATATACACGCACACGCATACACACACACGCACACACATACACACACACGCACATGTATACACACACACACACACATACACACACGCACACACACACATGCTTGGACATGCACACACACACACACATACACACACGCACACACACACATGCTTGGACATGCACACACGCACACAAAATCAAACTCAGGATCTAATGCTTATAACCACAATAAATATAATGTCATACATAACTCTATATAACACCACATTACTAGTTAAACAAAAAGTGAAAAACCTTTAAAAGTAGCAGCTCTTCACATCTATTCTCATCTAGATGTAAACGCAATTTGCCATGAAAATAAAGACCTCTGTATGTTAAATGGAAAATGTTTAAGCAATTGTCAGTCACAGTTAATGATCCAGTTGACAGTTTAACACACTGTTACATGCTGTTTGCAGTGTTTGAGTCATGCACAAAAGCATCACTATTGCATCATGTGAGGCGGTGGTGGTAGAAATGACTGAATGGATACAGTAGTAAAGGCCACTTCTATGATGCTGAACTGCAGCCATTTGAGATTTTTAGTGAAAGCAGAGTGTGGCTTATATTCGGATAAACTTGTCTGTACAGTGAATCGGAACATGCTGTTTTCCATGAATATGTAGAAAACATGGACAGATGTAAAAGAAGAGAAGAAGAAGAATAAAAGTGATTCACATTAACTAAAAGAGATGAAGTCGCTCATAAGCCAAGTTGGAAATTTCGAAGCTAGAGCCATACTTGACCTGACCTTATCAAAGGAGAAAAAATGGACAGAAGTATATCACAAAGCATGATGAAAGAAAAACTCAGTCTCCTTCCACTCTGTCCTACCTGTGTGCTAGAGAAGTGCAAATCCCCGCTAGGCTTACGCTCATGGAGGCGAGGCAAAGCCCCGTCCTCCTCATTATACCCTCTCTCGTTCAGGCCACGCCAAGCTGGGCTTTCATAAAGACCCTTAAAGTCATAGT